TGCTGCTTAGAACATCTCCAACCACATTCAACAAAATAACTATTCAAAATGTATTTAAATATTAAATTCACTACTTTAGCTAGCTACTTTTTAAAATTCACTCTAACTACGCTCTTTATTTTAGTTAATTACTTCAACTAACTTTAATTAACTTTTAATAATATAATTTAAAAATACCACGTGGCATAACACGTAAGCGCAATAATGATGATGTGTCATACCATGTCATCAAATTTAGGTTTTTTTAACAAGATTTAATATTCGACCCATGACCCAGCTAAAGCCTACCTAGAAAATCCAAACTTGTGTAAATTAATTCCTCAATAAATTTGGCAAATGTGAAAATTTCAGAATCCAATCAAGTATGATGATATTTAGCACATAAATTTCTACTAAATATGCAAAAATATAAAAAAAAAACTTTTAGAAAATTATTGGACCAAGAAAATAAAGAGTAAAAGAACAAGGCTCAGATCTGTATTTGATCAGGTAAGAGAATGGGTGACACACGCCATAACTGCAAATCCAGTTGCATGTGAGAGAAAATCTCCCACATACCATCCCAGTTTGTCCTGCCAAGATACATGTCAGATTAATTCAGTGTCCAATTCATTTGCTCAGAAAACATATCATCCCAGCCTCTCATATATTCGGGTCTGATCATCGTCATCATCATATGAACATTCTGAGACAAACTAAAAAAAGGTTGTTGCTTTGGAGGAGAGAGAAATCATTGGCGTTCTCAGAGAGGGCAACTACCCTTGAAGAAATCTAATCTCCCTGAAGCCTCATTCATGAGCTGTAGTAAGATTAGGGTTAGGGTTCCAGGATTTGGATCTGAATACTCTCAATTGAATCAAGCACAGAGAGAGAGAGAGAAAGAGATAGAGAGAAATCCATACCAGGTGAAGACAAGCTCAGATGAAGACGATGATGAAACCACAGTGAAGACGAGCTTGAGCTCTAATGAAGAACAACCCCAAAATTAGCGCAAATAACAAATAGAGAGGGAGCCTTGCTAGCCAAAAGTGATGAGTGAGAATGGGGGAGGCAAAATAGCCAGTGGAATAGAGAGCCCGTTGAAGAGAAATTTTTTGAATTGACTCAGCAAAATAGATAAAAGATGACCTTTGTTGAGTCGGTTGGAGTTGCTCTTAGATAAAAAAATGAAAATGACATTCAAATTTTGTTTTTCATAGATGGGACTTTTATTTATCAAATTGAGATGGACAAGCAAACTTGAATTTGTTAAAGTACATAAATATTTTAGTTATACCATATCTTTCAACTTAAGATTTAAGTGTAAATAGTGGTTAAACGTGACATCAAAACATGCTTTGCCTTCAAATCTCGACACTATTCTAATAATTAAGGGACTGCTTGATAATAAGGGGGTATGAGGGGACTTGACAAGATGAGTTTGAGAAAAATAGTCCAAAGAATCCCCAAACCTCATGTTTTGATTGAAAATTCAATCCTAAGCTCCCAAACTCGTCCCGTAACTGACCCAAATCATAAACTCATAATCATGAGTTTCATCAAACTTAGTAGGGAGGTGGGTTTGGAAAGGTGGGTTCAGAGGTTAATAATGCAAAAGACAATTGTATCTTTTAATATGGGTATGAATTGAATTGATCAAATGTAACATAATCATTTACAAGACAAATAGTTGTTAATAATTATGATATATTTGTGAATTTTACATATATATGTGTTGCATATCAAACACTAGATTCAATGTTGAATCTCATTTTGGTAAAAAAAAATTTTAATTTAGAAGAATTTTAAATAAGTCAATTCAAACCCTCCCTAAACATCATCCAAACAAATCCTAAAGACTTGTGCGTGCTAAAATCAAACCCACGCATTAGAGGCTTGTTTTGAGAGGGGGGGGGGGGGGGGGGGGGGGTTGCTGGCAAGTAGGATGACATTTTTAAGGTGGGGGTGGTGGTTCGACGTTAAGAGAGTTGGTAGGGCACGTGGTGGTTCATGGTGCAGAGGCTAGGGATTGTGGAAAGAGAAAAAATATTAGGCGTTATCCACGTGGTGTTATCTTTTTTATTATTTTTTTATTAAATTATTATACCATGTCAATAATAATAGCGTGGTGTAAGCACTGCATCTAATGTTTACTTGTGAAAAGAGGAGACCGTTGTGTAAAGGGTGGGGCAAAAGCTTGCAGTTCAGTTTTAAAAACTTCACTTCAGTCTGATGTGATCATTTGACAGATTTTATTTGCATAATTCTTATCCGAGTTGGTTAAACTTTAGATATGAAATTTGAATATCTGGCAGGATTGGATGAAATTAATCAAATTTGACTTTAATTACACAAAAAAATATTATTCAAAGTTATTAAATAAGTAGTAATTGCCCGTGCATGTAGGCATGACGTAACAAACAAAAAAATCGAAATCAAATACATGTGTGTTAAGAGACTGTATGCCATAAAAAATTGTTAACTAGAAAAAACTAAGAAAAAACATTGATAAACATAATATGAGCCCATTATTTTTTTTTTTAAAATTGATAGAATACAAATCAAAACAATCTCAAACATTGTTCAATGATCGTTTAATTATTTATTGATATCCAAATGATAGTAAATTTAAAAATATTATGGTATGAAAACAATCAAATAAATATGATATAAAAAGTAAGGAAAGGATTTAATTTTTTTGTAGGGCTTAAAATTTAATGGATTTAATTTTTTTATGGGCTAGTGATGTCCCTAAAATTATGAGACCTTTTAAAAATTTAGGGGCTAAAGCCTATATGTTTTTTTTTCATATTGTTAAGTCCGCCCTGGGTGGTTATTCGTTCGGAGCAAAGGTCAAGAGGAGGAACAAGGAGAGAAAGAAAGGGAGGCAGAGGAGAAAGGCGAAATTATAAATAATTAGATGAAAAAATCGAGATGGATACAGGTGGTAAAGGAAAGGAGAGTAAATAATATAGCATCATTATTATATTGAATATTTTGAAATTGTAATGTGAAAAAGTGATTTCTCTAATATATAAATGATATGATTTAGAGCAGCATAAGCGGGGGTTAAAATTTAAATATGAACGTTAAATTTTAGATTTGGACATAATTTTAAATTTAGATGACATTAATTTTAGGCGAAATTGAAAGACGAATTTAATGTAGGGGTGTTAATTTTGAAAATTAAAAATTTTGAGCGGCAAAAATATTTCAAAAAGCTAATGTGGTACGTCGGATCAAAACGATCTGAGACTTCAATAGTTTGAGATAATGTCATCCGTTGGATGATAATTTTTTTAGTTACAAAACGATGTAAGTTATTCTGTTTCCACAATTCAAAATCGTTCTACTTTATTATATAAATTTAGTTATAATTAAATCAAATATTAATGTCTGACTTAGATAATCGATTAAAATTATTAATTTGTATTCAATTAATCTAATTTATATTTAATTGTGATCTTATTTGAATTAAATGTCAATCCATTGACAGATATTTTTTCCAAAAAAGTGTCCTCAATCTGCCTTTCATTACATGGTATGCAATGATTTTTTTATTTATAATTCAAACCATAGTTACCACAATTTCAGTAACGATTGCACATAATTGTCAAAATTTAGGAGCGAATTTAGAAAACAACATCAAAGATCAAAATGCGAATCCCGAGACACTTCGGGAGTAACACAACATAATTAATATTTGTTTTTATTTTTGACATACATCAATGGTGAGTAAGCTTCTACCTTGAGTTGACAAAGTGATCACAAGAATAACGTTATTTAAATTTAATTTATTGGCCTAATTTATTATAATGGTTGAATTTATAATTAATTCTATTTAACATCAAAATGTGTTGTTATTTCAATAAGAATAGTAAATTATATTACCAAATCACTAATGCTATTGAGACATAATTTATGAATATAATTTGGAGACTTAATGCTTTATAACTATTAGATTGATAGTGTTGAGACTCAATAATAATTTAATATTAGGAGTTAATAACAATTTAATGACTACAATCATTAAATTCTCAAATTAGTATGTCTCCAAAACATTGCTCTTAACAAATTATCACAATTCTCGAGTTGTGATTTTCTTAGCAATACAAAAAAGCTTAAGCGGTAACAGGGTCACGAAGAATCTAAAAGACAATTCTAATTAATAGTTTAAAAGATAACAAAAACGAGTTATAAACTCAGACATTCTAAATTCAAATCTGATCAAACTGTTGAGGTATCTTAGGTCAAGATACGAGAGATTCATGAATTTTTTTAGTCTCAATTTGAATAACTTGTTTACGATCGAACTGAAGAGAAGGTGAAAGAAAAAAGAAAAGACATCCAAAAGACTAGAGACCCAGTCGGTGGTTGCTTGACTCAATCACTTCTAGTCTAGTCAAAGTCTTTCCTCTCCGTGCTCCTTAGTCCTTGAGATGGGCTTGCGGATTGTTTAATTCACCAGGTCGGAATAGGAATAGGAATAGGAATTAAACATAGGCAAGCAAAAGTCCATCCCATTCAACAGATTCTGTTGACTGACTAAAACCCTAAAGAACAATAACAAATAATAATAATAACAGTGGTAGTAGCTTTATATTGGGTATGGTAGTAGTAGCTTTATAATAATAGTATTCAGTAGGATATCGAGTGAAGTTAGACATTCGAGTTTTGATTTATATTGGGACTTTGAATTTATTTGTTTACAAAATCGATGATGATTTAAAAAAGATAGAAACTTTCTAATATCGTGTAATGAATCATGCAATAATTTAACAAAACTAAGTAGAGTATATTGTGTTTTATTTTCCTATCTTAAATTTCTATTACCACTATTGATTAATTGCTCCACAAAACTAACTTATAATATTAAAAATAATGATAATAAAACTGGGAACACAAACAAATTGTGGATGAAATAAACAACATCAAATTTCGAATTAGACTAATAAACAGAACCCAAATCAAAAAAAAAAAAATTCAACTTTTTTTTTCACCTGATATTTCTCAATCTTCCTCTGAGCCTGCAAAAAGTGATACTAAATATTTGTTGTATCTATATGTCTTCATCTTGATCTTCTTTTCGTCGGAACCATGTTTGATCTGTGTCGCGACAATGGTGTTAATGGCTCGAGAACGGAGTCTCTGTACTTGTACGGCAGAACCTGACTACGTCCCCGCTTTGATCGGACCACCGGCGAGATGTCCTCGAAATCCCCGTAAGCCGGAAAATGGTTCGGCTCCGGCCGCTTCGCGTTAATTTTTTTCACGGCCGTTTCTGTTCCGGTGGATTTGTGATTGTGAACCTCCGATTCATCATCTCTGAACTCGCCGAAAATCAACTCTGCGGCTTCGATTAACAAGCCTAGAAATCCATCGCCATTGATTTCTTCATTTTTAGCTTGTTCGATGTTGCTTTGTTCTTCGCCGTTAGTTTTTTCAGAATCTCCATCGTCGTCACTCTCCAAGGTTTGAACTTGCGATGAAACCCCAATGGCTTTCTCTGCAACTATTGCCGGTTCTTCTTCTTCTTCCTCATTTGCATCTATAGCTGATGAATCGCTTCCGTACTTCTTCTCCGCCGTCATTTCAGCACATTCACCTTCTAAGATCTTATCAATCCTCAAAACACCACTACTTACGGCCGGAAAATCACTTACCCAACCCTCTGCGACGGCGCTACAGCCACTGACCAGCCTTTCATCTCCGGCGGCGGACTTCGATTCCCGTATCTCTGATGGTGGATCTAAGCTATTTTTCAAGTCCATATCAAACCCTTTATTCACACAAAGCAAAGCCCTGTTTTCGTTTGTCATAGAATCATCTGATTCTTGGAGTTGAGCAGTCGAAGTTGGTTGCTTTGAGGAGGTTGAATCAGGAGGGAAAGACGAAATTATGAGTAGAATCTTTTCAAGGCACATTTGAGCTTTGGAACGACTATGGCGGATTTCACTTTTAGAGAAGGGATTGTAGGCCTGATTCGGCTGGTTGCGGAATTGATACGAAGCCATTCTGTTCATCAATCAAAACATAAAAAACTTTCCCACATGCCTTAACCCACCATCTCTGTAACCAACGATCTCTAATGATCGGCGTGGGAGAGAAAGAGAGAGAAGAAAAAAAAACGCATTCCTAAATAGTTGTTATGGGTTCGAACCCGTGTCGATACTTCTTATGAATTGGATACTGTTAAAAAGTCTGAGGGGATGTTTGGCAAAACTTTTGGGGTATAGGATTGGTTTGAATTTTTAATCCAAACCAAATCAACGAAAACCCAATAACTAGGATACTAATGAAATGGTGCAATCATATCCCTCAATTGGAAAATAATTTCTTATATTATGGGATCCACGGACAAATCATTATTTTTTTGTGTCAAATCTCTCTATTTTTAGATGAATTTACAATTTTACCCTTTAATTCTATCCAAGTCAAAGTCAATGTTGGCTATGAAATTTTATTCATGTTGTCCACTTTTATATTTCATAAAAAATGTAACAGCTGTATCACGAAGAAGAAATACCGAAAATAATTCGATTTTCATTTTTCCAAAACTACACAAGTGCGAGCACATTAATTTTCTCGTAACATTGTTCCACATTGTTTTAAAAAAAAATTAAGAACAATAAAATAAACGATTCGATGTTACATAAACATATTTTACATTATATAAGTACACGTATCAACATGGTCAAATCTCATGTTGCCTTGAAATATACGTACAAAACGAAGACAATCATACACGGAACAAATTACATTGAAGCTACATGTAGACAGGCTATTATGTTTCAAAATACAAATAGACCATGGAGTGAGCAGTTATACTGAGTCACATGATGCGAAGATATGCATAATGCTGGGAGTTACCAAATGGGTATCTAAAATTTACCACAAAACACTAAACTTCACCCAAAACTTTCAAGTAATTATAGAAAACGGCATGAAAAAATTGGGATTTTGTTTTACTCACTTGTTTCCCTTAATCTTGAACCAAGTATCAGCACAATGCGTATGAGCTGCTGCTAAGTCATCCTTACAAGAACAACACAATTCAATGGCAATCCCAGACTCAGGACCAGTACTCTCCAAACTCAGATGACAGATTCGACAATCTCTCTCTGATTTCCCCAAATGCACTTTGATTTCACCCACCTCATTTTCGACATCCACCGAATAATCGGCCACCGATGAAACCTTCCTAGATTCGCCAATCTCAAAATCAAGAGGCACAAGCAAAACTATAGTCATCGTAAGAGCCATCAGCGGTGGAATAGAATTGAGAATAAATATCCATTTTATTGAGATCAAAATTGATCTGTTTAGCATTTTCTTTCTTTGTCATTACATACAAACAAATAAACTTCACTGAAACACGAATACGAGAAGAAACTAATTCAGATATATCGATGAAATAGAGGATTTTACAGACCATAGAAATTTTTTGATAAAAAATTACAGACTAATGCAGAAAATAAGAACAAAATAGCCCCATATTCAAGAAGCATAGCTGGTACTGTTAACAATGACCCAACCCAACAACAAAAAAACCCCATACTCATCTTTCCTCTCATCTAATGGTGCTTAGACTATCTTCGCAGAACAAAAACAGCCACAATCATTGATTTGTGAACAAACCCATCAACGAGCAAGAGGGTTTCTAAGAATCTTGAATGCAAAAACAGCACAAACAATCGAGAAAACCATCGGAAACTCAGTGCACATGCATCTTGCGTCAGACCTCCGGCCACCTATGACTTTCCCGGTCGGAAAAAATGGCAGAATCACTGGTGGTGCGAAGAAGTCACCACCATTGACAGTGTAATCAAGAATGGCGCAAATACCGTGGACCTCCATGGCTGAGTTTAGGTAGATATTTGGGTGAACGATGATAGAATCGTCAATGGTGAGGGCAAATAGATTGCCATGGCTGAGTTTAGGGGAGAGAGGGGGGCGAGAGATAGAGAGAGAGAGAGGAAACATACCTTTGCCCTTGCCAATGGAGGAGTTTGAGCCGTTCTGGGGGTGATTTCAGGTGTGTAATGGTAAAATCATCCCACAATCCGGTCGCCATTTGCATAATCCCAAAGTTTTTGTGGGATTTGTGTATCCCTTGCGAAGGGATAAAAGAGCTCAAATACTACGGCCGAGTTTTTCAATTACAACGATTGTCCAGCCTTAAATTTTAAATTTTCTTGCCAAATCAAGGATAAATCATAAATGGATTCCACCTTATTTTTATCCAATCCAAATGGTGTAATCCGAGTTTATCCACCATACCAAACACCCTTGAATGTTTAGTTTGTCTTTGACGGTATTATAGTGGTGGATAGAATCATCTCAGGTCAATAATTATAATTTAAATCGAACGTTATATAATGAATAAAAATCTCAAAGTAATGTATTAAGAGTGTTACGGTTGATCGTCCTTGATTACCTTTTTGTGCAACAAAAAAAAAATACTATCAAAAATAATTTGGGGGTGGAGTAGTTGAATTTTTCATAACAAAATTTGATAATATACTAAGTCGCAGTTATTTGTTGAACATGTGTAATCTTTTTATTCGTGATGTAAACCATATAATAATATAATGTATTAATTCCCCAAAAAAATTTCTCGTTGAACTTGAAAGTCTTGAATGATCTTTTAGGTGACGTGGGTTCCATTTTGCAGGTCATACTCTACGTGGAGAATTTTGGTTGGGTGCAATAAAATGGTTTGACACGATGCTGTGGTATCAAAGCCTTGGCTTTGTGAGAGTGCCAAATTTTGTTTAATCACATCAAAGTGGAATGTTATATTAATAAATTATATTACTAAAATTTTATAAGATTTATTGAGCCAACCACCTATCTTAGTTGAGAATTACACTCAGATCCTCTAAAATTTATTCCTTAATTACTCAAACTTCTTAACATTTGAAATATTACACATAGATTCTCAGAAGTTTGTATGCGCGTAATACTTAAACTCTTATGATTAAAATTTGTTAGTATATCCGTTAGTAATTATACTCAGACCCCTAAAATTTATAAACGTGTAATATTTAGACCCTTTAAATTTAAAATATTATATTTAGACCAAGAATATTTCAATTAAAGATAGAATATCAAATATTTTAAATTTTACAATCAAAATTAATATTCTGTTGTATCATTTATTAAAATAAAAATAAAAATAAAAATTTAATTTTTTTTAAAAAAATCATAATTATTATACAATTATACTATCTATTAGAATACAACTAAAAAATTCAAACAAATGGTCAAATTGTATTAAACACAATATTTTTTAGTTTTAATTAGGATAATTTGATAGTTTAATTTGATCGTTTAAACAACCAAATTAAATTCCTATAGATAGTAAAGGGTGAGCAATCCAATTTTTTGAAAAGTAAAGGGTACAATAGTCTTTTTACAAGAATTCTTGTTGGCCACAAATTTAACCCACCCCTAGGGGCATTTTTGGTGTGTGGGTTTGTATGGAATTTAAAGGGTTGGTTTTGTGACAATAGTTTAATCTACATTCTAAACTCGTGTTTAATTTAAGATGTGAGGCTCAGGATTTATAAGGTAAATGAATCTCAGTCAGCAATAATTAGTGAAATAAAATTCATGTATGTAGGTTTGATGAAATTCATGGGTGGTGACTATCAAAAGTCAGAGACAATGTTTGTAGATAAAAATATTATTTTACCAAAATGTTCATTCTTCTATTCACTTAATAATGAATATTTTAGTCGATTACAAATATGATTTGATATGAATATATGAATAGAATTTTTGTTTGAATCTCCCCTCCAAAAATAAAAAATATAGAGAAACCCATTGGGCATTGGATAGACCAAAATGAGATATCCCAGCATTTTTTTAGCTTTCCTAAACAGGACCCACCTTAATTATGTCCAATCCAACATGTTTTTATCCCTTTATCCCATTCTCCACATCATAGTTATCAGAATTAGATTACACATTAAATCGACAGATGGACAAGATCAATTAAGGCTATCAATTTTTGATACGACACGCTAATATGATACGAATCGAACACGAAATTAATGAGTCAGACATAAAATTAAATGGATTAATAGTTAAAAATGGGTCAACACGCTTAAACACAAAAAAAATCATGTCAGCTTCATGTGAAATTCAGGTTAACCCTTCTATTTTAAACGGGTTGACATTATTCGGACATAAACCCGACCTAAGCTATTATAAACCTGTTTATGGCAGTATAGTTCGACTATTATGTATGACTGATGTGGTCTTAGCATTATTATTTATTATTTCTTACTTTTACTATGATAATTTACAGTATAGTTCTTAATATTATTATGGAAGTATACTAGTATAGTTCTTGTTTTAATTTTTAAGTTGAAACTTGAATGCATTTTAGTTAATTTCATTGATGAGATGTGATATGTTATTGGTGAAAAAATTATTTGAAATTTTGAATGAATAATTGAATGATATATTTAACGGTAATGAATAGGTATGGAAACAAGTTATGTCTATTCCATAGGTTAAACATGTCATGTTATATGTGGTAACCCGAAAACGACATGTTTATTAAATGTGACAAATAGTTTGAGTTCGGGTAATTCGTTTAATGGATAGGTCTAATGTTTACACATCTCGACACAATTATTGAACAAGTTAAGTTCGTGTTTTGAGATTTTTGACACAAACACGAAATCAACCTAACACAAAATGATCCAACCTGATACGTTTGACACCCTTAAAATCAATGAATAATTGATTCAATGGTTGGATCAACTAGTTTGACTGCTCGTATAATTAAAAAATAAAAATTATATATAAGCTAATAATTTAGCTAAAAAGATATAAAAAATGTCCACAATGCATACAATTTATAAAGTAAAAGAAGATAAAAATATTACCTATGTCAAATATCGTAGTTTAATTAGGGCTGTGTGTCTGTGTGTTGATTACATAAATTTAGACCAACCCCCCGTGTGTGTATAGTGTGCTTATTGTGGGTGCATGTGTAGGTGTATGATTAACCATTAAAAGTATTATTTATTATATTTAAGGATATGTTAATTACATATTATTTGCGATAAAATATGTTAAATTCTTTACTTTTCTACCTTAATACTTGTTCTAGCTAATTTTCTCATTTCATAGGTAACTCGGATGATTTATAATGATAATGAATTGATCCAAATTAAGCAAACAATGGAAGAAAGATTCGGGTTGGAACAGGGGATGATTTGATAAAAAAAAAAAGAAAGTTCTGAGGCATTCCAAAGCATAAATGCATGTTGAGGAGAATTCAAGAAGGAAATATTTTGACATTATTTCGATATTTTGGTCATAACATTTTATTTTGATGTTCAATTGACTTGATTCTTACGACATTGAAAAAGTAGACGTCAATAGGGGTGTGCAACTATCCAAAAATTCAACACTGACTTCGACTCCGCCTCCGTTGGAGTCAAAGTTTGTCGAAGTCGGAGTCGGAGTCTAAAATGTGTTACAAAAAAACTCCGACTTGGCCTTTTATTAATAAAATTACATAAACTGTAAATTATATATATATACACACACACATAAAAGCCACATATATGTATATTAGTTAATGTCTGTGTCTGAAAATACTGTGTAATTTTTAAAACAAATATCGCCAAAAAAAAAAAAAAAAAATTCATTGTAGTAAGTGTATACATCTAATAGAGCGTTAAATATTAGCATAGTTGAAATCCATCTAAACTCACCAACTTAATTTAAAAATTACAATAAAATACCCACTAACTATAGAACCACAAAACTAACAAAAAATATATTGTGTATTGTCCCACACACAATTGAAAAGGACAAATATTTAATCAAAGATTAGGTCATATTTAAAGATTAGATACAACAAAACAACCATTTTTATCCATTTACTTTCAATTGCATTTCATCATAGTCCAATAGAGTTGAAGTTCTTTTTTTTTTCAATAAATACTTTTCATTGCTATAAAAGAATAGATTCTTTAAATTGTTTACTGACAGCCAATCAAAATTAAGGAGCTATACAAATTCATTGGAAATCCTCAATATTGATTTATGTGTTTGTGTAGCTTCTCAATTTTGATTGGTTGCCTGTAAGGCTTATTTGTAAAGAATTTAATCCCTTGCTATAATTCCTTCAAATCAAGATTCAACCTCTTTAATGCACATAATTAGAAAAGTGATCAAATCATGAATGCCCAATATCAAGATGTTGCATAAATTATAATCCCTTATCTTAAACAAAG